ATCGACCGTGAGTCACGCTGTATGCATTCATGGGTGATAGAATGATTTCCGTGACTTCAGAAGCACAAGTTGATGGATCTTACTAGGGAAAATTTCGAAAATGTTCTTGAAGATTGTTCCCCAACATTCACCGGTAATTCACCCAACACTGATATGGGTTTGTGGTCAGAAGATCCCAATGGAGACCCTACGGTGACTGTGTAAATTCCTGGATTGGTTGTTAGGTATAGAATCAGAAGACTGACGTATTCTTCATCACAGTCAAGAATCTCGGTTGGCCCATTTATTATCCGCTACTTATTGCAGAAGCCTTAGCTTCACGTCCATTGATATTCAAAAATTTGAGCCATTCGATATTGTGGACATTGAAGTCACCCTGGTGCCAATTGTATGTCCATCTCAAAGAGGTGGACATATATTTAGTAGGGAGTTTATTGGGTAGAAATTTGTAATTATTAATATTTATTGGGATTTAAATTACTATATGATATAAAATATCATGTAGAAATTGTTAGTTGGTACTGAACACCCCTAAAGAAACTATTAAATCTTTAAACACGCGTCATGAATTTGTGGATTGTTGAAGTGACGGTTTGTATGATATTGAATAGAACTGATTATCATATATTTTGCTCAATTAATTTTCATCATCATCGCTTTGTTTTCTGAGAAATGAAGTTGATTTCGTAATAATTGGAATTGAAATTGCATTAATCTCAATTCTAAAAAATGATTTTTATTATAAAATGCAATATGATTCACGAGTGCTTTTACTGAATACAATAAGATCATATTCGAAGCATATCAACGTTCAAACTGAAACATTTTCAACAGACTTCTGCAATTCTATATTGCAGTTCTGAAGACTGTACCAAGGAGTACTACTGTGTAGGTACGTTGGGAGAGATTAATGTTTTGATATTCCATTTCTGAATATTTATTTTCTAATACAATCATACTGTATATTTTTTTGAAAACGATCAACGAGGTTAGAGACCTAGTTGAGTGGTATAAATATGTTCACACTTATATTGGCTGTCTATTTGAAATATAGTTCTTCAACGTGATTTCAACTGTTACTATTCAGATTCGAATAAAAACAGATACGTACAATAGTCTGGAAAACAGACTCAAACAATCGTTTCTATCATAAAAATATGAAAAGTTGTTAATGAGATACAACTGAATGCTTGTGATATCCACCAAATACTTGATATGATGAAATATTACGTAACTTGAACTGCTTGAATGAATTGATTATCTATGAACCATTTCATTGGTCAGGTGGATCTATAAAATACCTATATATTGAGGTGCAATTTAGAATAATTATTGTATTTTTTCTGTTCTCGTTCCACAACTGATTCAAGGCCTTTAGAAATGTGGTTTCTGTTATTATTATCGGCATTGTTTGTTTCTGCCAATGGTGTGAGTACTTTTGGAATATCAGTGTTATTGATTTAAGGATCAATTTTTATACTGCAGTTGTCCCGGGATACCGATTTATCTGAATAATAAATACATTATTTGATTCATTAAAAAAATCAGTTCTGGTTGATGAAAACAATTTGAAAATAATTGAAGCACTTGTTCGATGCATATGTTGAATAAAAATTTGGAGTCTTCCGTCTGAGTATGTCCTAATTTAAAAAAAAAAATCTCCAAATATATTCATCCTATGAGTTCTTCAACTGTTGCGAAAGGGTTCAACAAGTAGATGCAATATCAAAACATGTGTCTGTATATAATGATCACATTTTGGATGGTATTAATAATAATAGCAGCATTCATTCAACTTGATTTCTGAGCAATGCAAATCATAAGGAGCAGAAAGTGCAACACTTCCATTATGGTAAAAAGTTTTACAAACATTACTTATGAGTGCATAACCTCCTATGTGTTTCAAATAGGTGAAAAAAGGTCTGGATAAAACATTAGTTCGGTGTAGGATTTTTGGTTTCGCGTTTCTGAAAAAATCCACTCACGTAATAACCTTTGAATGAACCATAAAAGGTTGGGTGTTCAGGGGTGATTAACTCACCGAAGACCTCAGTTTTTGTCATCGGATTCAATCTTGTGCCATGAAATTTGGTATGCTTGGGACACCTTCAATGCTTGTATCACCATTGTTACCAACAACAAAATGGTTTCTGTTGCGTTTGTTTTCTCGTAGAACACCTCTGGCCAAAGTCGGAGAGTTCTTGTCAATACAAGCAGTATCTGGTATGTATGTACAAAATGCTATTAGACCTATCCTATAACTTTGTAAGTTCAACAGGATGAATAAAGTGATTTGATTTGATTTGATTCATTCCCACACTAGAATCCACAATGCCGGAAATCTCTTTCCNTTTTTACCTGTTGTTTTCGTGTGGGCATTGTATGGGCATCGCTCAGAATTTGTTGAAAAACATCATCAGCGATTCAGACGTGCTTAGAAAGGTATATCTGGTGATGAATTATGAGTATATGGTTATGACATCGAAAACAAAGTTCAATCCTCCCATTGGAAAAGCTCTGGAGAGCCAAGTCCAAAAAAGCACACCAAATTAGATCAAATGTCAGAGTTTTGCTCACTGTTTTTTCGACAACTGTGACATAGTGAATCAGGAGTTCTTGCCACATGGTCGTACGGTCGATAAGGGGTATTATGTTGAAGTTATTCGCCGCTTGCGAGAAGCAATACGAAGAAAACGTTAGGTATTGTGAAAAAACAATTCATGGCTTTAGAATAGCGATCATACACCTGCCCACTCGTCATTGCTTGTTCGCTTTTTTTTGGCTAAAAACTACACCATAATCATGCCTTAGCCACCGTATGCCCCTGATTTGGTCCCCTGCGACTTTAACTCCTTCACAAGATTGAAAGACCCATGAAAGGACGGCGTTTTGCGAAGTTCTAAAAGATAGAAATCGAATCGCTGCGAGCTCAAGGGCATAACAAAAAGTGTATATCAGAACTGCTTTGAGGATTGTAAATTACGCTGGTGTAAGTGTATTTCATCTGAGGGGGACTACTCTGAAGGGAACGAAATGGAAATTGATGAATAAATGGATATTTTTTGAGAAAACTGAAAATTCGCCTCATTTCCTGAACAGACAGCGTACATCGTCATATCATGACGAAAACGTTATGTCACAATTTTTTAATAGTAAATTCCAATACATTTGAAATTTTAATCAGGATGGGGCGGATTCACCTCAGTGAAAAGTATTGGAAAAAGGTCCTGATAAATCTCATGAGAAAGAAAATTAATTTTGGTGGTTGTATATTTTGTTTTTGATCTGCGAGTTATCGTAAAACGCATAGAAAACGTGATTTTCGAGTGTTTTCGAGACATGTTTCTCAAATTTGATGGGTGAAGGTAGCAACAAAATTGTTTGAATTTTTTTTGTTTTGTTCAATTTTTTATGTGGAACGTATGGATCAGAGGTCATATGCATTTGAAAAATCACATTCAACAGTTATTATGGGAAGATTTTCGGTTTCAACCTGGCATATTTGGAGTAGTACCGTTTATATCTGTGCTAAAAATCGCACTTTCGAAAGAAAGACCTCGTTAATCTTTAACTCGTACAAATTTTGGCTTTTGAGGGTTGTTGCCTATGTGAGGACAGATGCTGCTCAATAAATTAAACCATTCAACCCACTTTTCAAAACCCATATTATAGGTCTCCTATGACAATTCAAGAATATTTGGATGTTAAATCGAATATATACTTTCTTATTTAGATTATCTTCGATTAAGGCATAAGGCGGTATTCTGAAATAAACCATTTTGCAATTTTCTCCACCAACCCTGTGTTACTCTTTTGTTGTTTCAGGCAAATCCTACGACTGTATCCGTCTACTATGAAACCCTCTGCCCAGCTTGTGTGTATTTTTTCAAAAATCAGCTCGGTCCAGCTTACTATCAAATCGGAGATAAGATAAAAGTGGACCTGTTACCTTATGGAAATAGTAGAGTGAGTAAATAATAATGAAAAATCAATAATGATGATATTAATAATATAGGTACGACAGAAATATTGGTTGGAAAAATTCTGGTATCAATCTTGGGGCGCTACCAATTTTTAAAGCACATGAAGTGATAATGTGATAATGTCACGCATTTTATTGATATTTGATCCTCCGGGTTCTGCCGGTCGGACCTTTTCCCGACATCCTCATACACGTCGAGGACGTGTCGACATTAGTGAACAATGATCACTGCTTATATCATGTGGTGAGTGATTGGATCTCAGAATCATATACCATGAGGAGACGCATTGAGCCAAGAATGGTAGAATTCTGTCAACATGAGGCTATGGGTATCCTCAGTATTTGTAGCTAAAATGTAGCTCTTTTGCAGAGCAGCTTCCAAATCGATGACAAAGTTGTGTCAACATGGTTCAGTGCAGAATTATTATTATAATTATTATGAATGCATTCATCAAAGAGCCCTTGTGGGATCGAAGCAAAAAAAAACTTCCTAGTATCCTATGCCACCTGATTGAAATTTTCTATCTTGTCTGGATAAAAGAAGTAGAATCCAAAATGATTCGTCGAGGGATAAACTGCTCTAAAGAATTACGGATCGATAACATTCTCAAACTCCTGTTGTAACACGCTAATATAGCTAATACTCTAAGCAGTTGACTGAGTATTCGATAAAATATAATAGCATAAAGTTAACTTTTTTAGAAAATATTAAGGACAAGGGTACTTGGTAACTTACAGTATTTAGATATCTTATAAAATCAGTTCTGAGAATCATTCATATTTCTTATAGTGATGCGTTTTTCAGTAGAGTGATAATGAGTATATCGTTTTTAGTGATTGATATTTGTCTTATAGATTTTGAAGTTTGAGATATCCCTTGTTTCTTTTGGCAGTATAATATACAATTTTGGTGCAAAATAATATATTGTTCTTTGTGTATAGCATTTCTTGAATCGGGGTAGTGGTAAATTTTGTGCGTATCTAGTATTTTTTGATATTTTTGTAATATTTTTTGATCACTGCCAAAATGACAAGAAATGGAAGTTGTCCTTTATTTTCTAATTCATAGGTAAATTTTATTGATGGAAGTCTGTTATTTGAAAAGGAAACGAAGTGTTCAATATTTGATTTTTTGTTATGGAATATCGCAAAAACATCATTCACATACCTCAGTCATATCCAAGGGTTTTCATTTCAACTTTGCTCATGAACAGGTCCCTCCTGTTATTCATAAAAGCAACGTTCTATCTGGAAACGATTTTGTTTCATACACAAATTAGTTAGAGAAACGAATTCATCAATTTCGTTATTATTGAAATTATTTTCCTCTAATAATTTCCTAAGGTATTGCAAGGTCTGTGGAATTGGGACGCTAGGAAATAAGGAACTAATATCAAAAAAAACCAAAATCTCACCTTCTCGAAGAACGAAGTTTTTTGTTGGTTTCAAGAACTCTAAGGAGTTTTTGATACTAAACCTGGTTTCGCAATACGTAAGATGTCAAATTCCCCAGTCAGCTATTTTGCTATTTGGTAGGTAGGAGATCCAGTAGCTGACACAATGGGACGCATTCATTTTCCCGGTTTGTGGATTTTTGAAAGGCAATATAGTTTTGACACCGTTGGGTGGAAAACCTATAAGTTCCGTTTCAGTTGAGGGTGATTATGTTGTCGCATTACAAGACATTTTTCAAGACAAAAGATTCACCTTTGACAAGAGAGTAAAAAGAAAGATAAGAAAAGAGTACCATGATGAAATTAATTTTTCATACACAGCTCGCCAAGAGCAATTATATTTTTGATACCGAACGAAAAATAATGACAAAATTTTCATTATTTCTTCGATATAGTATCTGCTGCTACTTGATAGTGGTAAGGCTCTCATAGATCCAACGTAAACTTTGTTCTTGTTGTTTTTCCTTTGAATTTGAAATGTAATGTAATGTTCGTCATCCGACGATCAAATTTTGCCTATACAGTTTGAATATTTTCAAACTTCTATAACTACTTAAATACTCACAAGTTATTTAGATGACAGAAATATACACCTATGGTACCGAAACATAAAAGACTTCAGCAATCAGTTGAAGAGTTGTGCCAGAAATTAATGAGTTATTCGAAATTCATCAGTTTTTTCTTGATTTTTTTTAACGCAAACACTATATTTTTTATACAAGATGATATTTTTTCTTGAAAAGCTCTTTTCAACAATACGGGGTTGTACAGGTGAATAACTATGAGTTCAAAGACGTATCAAAAATAGTTTCAAGGAATATGTTATTTTCAGCAAAAACTTCAAAAATGAAATTTCATAGTGAAATGAATCTGAGGTGAATGAACGGATTTCCAGGTGATCAACATTTTTGCAAATATGGATGTTATTTAATTAATTATCTAATCCAAATTTTACAATTAAAAAAAAGTAATTAGATTCCACTAATAATTTTTGACCAGATAAATTAATATCTAATCAATATTTTATTTACTATGAGTTTATAGTATAAGCCTTAATGTATAAAAACAAAAAAATGTGTGGTGAAAAACTTAGATGAGTTTGGTATTGTTAACGGTATCTGGTAAGACGGTATGTCTTATAACAAGGTGTTTCTACGGTACTTGCAAACGATGAACCGAATTTTGTGATACGCGGTAAGGCGGTATCTCTTGTTACAAGTATTCTCGGATGCAGACTGAATTTCAATTTCACTTGGTCCTATCGCTAAATTTCTTTTTGGGAAAGGATAATTTATCAGGATGGGCTGGAATTATTGTCAAGTCACGTAGTCCCCGAACATCTTGGAAAAAGGGTGCTTAGGTCGAAATTTGGTAAACGAGAAGTAGATAATATTTGCCATGATTTCAAAAAGATAGGAATGCAGAGAAACGTCACGTTAACTTTATAAATCTCGGTATTTGAACCCAAATATAGGCCATGAAGAAATAAAAAATAGCCGCCTTTTATTAAGGGTTAAGTTGTAAATGTGCGCATCGTAAACAAATACCAATAACGTGAAAGTTTCCAATTGAAAATAAAGAAAAATGAACACAATAAACACTTATTGATTAAAACTTGACCCAAGGGTCAAAAATGTTAAATCAAAAAATTATAGAATCTTTGAAATTATTTAACAGAACTGATATGTTTGAAAAATGAAAGAAATACGTTTTATGACTGATCCTCCAGGAGACCAAATCTTGTTAACGCAGATACTGTTATGAAGTACAAAAAATATTAATCACCCTCCTAAGCAAATAATTTAACGAATGCCTTTGAATCGTTATATTGGTTTATTCGGGATCGATAACAAAAACATATATTTTCGGCTTGGGTTTCTCATGAAATCATGAATTAATTTTCACGCTTATACCACGCTTTGACTGGATACCTTGGGTATCATTATAAAAAAGTAATTCAGTTACTGACAATCAGTGAACAACTGACATCACTGCTAATCGAACAAAATTGATACAACGTTCTAGTATAATATTTTCAGAGAACTATCGAATTTGCTTTTGTTCAGAGGTGTGAACACAGTACAGTGCAAAGCCTATTGAGTATCAACGATATTATTTCAATTTCTGTTTCTTGATGTGCATTTCGCCAACTGACTTAGCATTATCATGAGATGACAGTTCTAGACATCTCTTGATGATGCTCACTTGTTTAGCTAACAATTTGTTTAGCGAAACGCGCGATGAAGACAATGATTTCATCAAGTATGGAAAAAGTGTTTTCGATAGATTCATTTCACGCCAGAGTTCTCAAATCTACTTAGTGAACTAGGTAAATGTACGCTTCCTGGTTACTGAAAATTTTGATTATCAACTGAAACTTTAACTGTTACTCACGCCCTGTACCGCACTGTCTGCTGAACTTGACTTGACAACTCGATATGCACGTGGCACAGTATTTCTGTATACAGTAGTTT